TCTCTAATCAAATTAAATTTGAATGCTCTGATTGGTCAATAGGGCGAAAAGCGCGAAATTTGAATTTTAGAAATGAATTAAGATAGCAAAAGATTTATTCAAACAACTTTTTATTTTGTCTACTGCTCTGATATGTTGAAAACTATAACATATCTAAAATTTAGAGGATTTCTATGCGCCAAACCCGAGCAAAGTTAAACTGATATAAAATTACATGAAAATGGCACAGGAATACATCAATCGGCGACCTTCTGAAAGACAGCTATTTCGGCTCTCACAAAGGAAATGTCAAAACTGTGATCGGAAACAGCAGTAATCCAAGCTCACACGGCGAACGCGCCAAAGCGGAGTGTTTTTATTTCGCCACCATAAAGAAAAACAATTTCATAAAATCATGTCGGAGGGTTGTCCTAATGGCCCGCATTTGAATAAAAAGACGATTTGTCCATACAGAAAAAAATTCATGGATGTTCGGAGAATTCGGTTTCAGAAGACGCTCTCTTCGCAGTCTTACATGGTAGATATACTCATGTTTAGTCTAAATATCTCCGCAAAACCTACTTTCATTCTTAGAAAAAGTAAAGGAAATAGTTACAGTCAAACTTGCATGATCTTTAGTACCGGATAACACTCAAAACTAGTGAGAACTACATTTGTATATATGATAACTAAGCGGCTGCCTTCTTACAACTGCTGCGAAATTATAATCACAAATTTCAATTCGTTCGTCTTAAGTTGCACTTAGCTCGACGAAACAGTCTAGAATGAAAACAAATCGAATTGTAGAATAGTAAAGATACACAAAATTCTGAAGTTTCGAAAAGGACAAAATAACTACACAGTCACATCATGCGGTGATGCGAAAATTTATTGGGTTCAGCTTACCTCAAGCTCAAATCAGGCGGCTTCACATCGCTTAAAGAAATTTAATATATTTCTGTATAAAAAACAAATCTATCACTTCCACTCTTTGTGCCCAGCTATTCTCCACAATTACTCTGAATCATCACTGAATCAAAGCGATCTCCTCCTGACAACATAAACAACCGCTTCGGTCCTACTTGTCCACATGGCCACTCGACGACATGTTGAGGACAGATGTAAACGCTGCTTCAGTAGGAATTTCACGATCACTCCGATGATAAAATACATTGAATAAAAGCAGTAAACAATCGATAAAGGGAAATATGTAGATTTCAGTGATGAAATTGACGAGATTTCTTCGGGCAAAAGACAAATTTCCTCACATCTCAAATATCGCATCCAAGATGGTTCACAACAAGGTCACGCGCGTGTTGCACGTTTTCGGCTCTAACTTTTGATTGGCGCACAGAACAATGCTTAAACTTGGTCGTGAGGTAAAAGACAGGAGAATGGGGAAAATGAAGCTAAAAAAAGTTGTTTTTGTCACGTTTTTCTTTGTTTTTTCGTCGATTTTTGGATTTCAGCCAATCAGAAGCCACCATTTAATTGAAATTAAAAATTAAAAGTTAACACCTTTTAATCGATTTTGCGTTCTGCCTGCCTAGTTCTTACGCGGACCATTACTTAAAGCCTAAAGCTTTTTATTACGGCTAAATAAATATTTTAGTTTCTTTGGTCTTTTCCAACTAAAATGCCTGGATCTGGACAACTACAAACCAAGGAGCCTTGGTTTGTAGTTTCTTTGTCACTGCTTTGTCCGTGAATGTTTTGACGCTGGGCCCGGCTTTTTAACTGTTGTTTGCAGGATGTTGTATTTTTACGTATAGCGCGATCTTCAGATTTGAGTTGTAGCTTAAGCTACACCAAGCAAAAAAGTATGGAGAATTACTCTGTGCGTCTTCTACCATATGCCATTCATCGACCACAATCGCGGACGCCGTTCGATGTATTGCGCTGGAGTGCGTTATTCTCTAACACCGAGTAATAGAGAAAATTGAGGTGAACTTTCTCGAAGCACTGAAATTTACTGTTTCTGTCATAAGGTCCATTGCTTTACATCTCAGCGACACCATTTCAGATATCTGGTCCTCGATAGTACTTTTTAGAGGGGAAATTGTGATCATACAGGTTTTCGATGAGGATATTTCTTCTTTGGCCATAGCAAAGACAGTAAAGATCATGCTCTTGCCAAATCTTGTTGACAAAATTTCCATGACATCTCTCCTTTGAAGAAGACTGTAAATGGCCATTTCCTGTTTAGGCTTCAATACAATTGCCCTATTTTCCCGTCAAATATTCAAGATCGACGACGCTCCGGTCAACGCTTCTTTGATATTTTGATTTTGTTTTGCGGAGATGATTTGTTCAGTCCCTCGAAACTCTCCCATGGGAGATTACCAAAATATTTGATTGACAGGCGAACATTCCGAACCAATCGGAACGATCCGTACGCTGGCGTGCGGACCGACTCAAAAAAGCCCCCCGTCCGTGCAGGCGGTTTTTCAAGTTGCTTCCGCTCCAATCTCCTCGCGGTTTCTCTGCCCTCGCCCGACTTTATTACTTAGCGCGCCCAACCAAAACCGCCATGCTACGCAGGCTACTTGACGTACAAAACGAAGCAAAATTTGAATTTTCCTTTTTATCCTTTTTCCCATCTATTTATGCTCATCCACTTCTTTGATAAAAAAAAGGACAGGAGTTAAAAAAATACTTACGTGACCTCACAAGAACAAGGGTAACAAAAATCTCTCGGATTTCTTAAATGCTCCATTTGCCAGTTAATTGGTTTTTACAGTGAAGGGCAATCCTTTTTCCTTCATGGCCACCAGTATAATTATACCGAGAATGTGCCTATAGGCAAGGCAAACCACCATCTTTTCCAATTATTCATGCGAACGATTAAACTTTCCCGCCCTTGCCAAAATTAGATCATATTCGGTGACATTCGTGCGTGAAAGGTTACAGCTTCTTAGATGGTTCTTTACTTGGACAACGCACTTATTTAGTAGAAAAAAATTGTCTTTACCGCGTGAGGAACCACAAGTAATATTTGCTATCCCGGCAAAGGAACACTTCGCAGGTGCATGTGCCATTTTGGTTGTTTGCCAGTAGCGTAGACTGCGATTTAGGTGGTCAGTGGGCTATGGACCGCTTTGAAGAATGACTGAAAGTTCCTCAGTAATTGAAAATGGTCTAAATCTGTTATTGAAAAATTTCTGGAGATAGAGCGGGGCGGAGGGGAAGTCAGTGCTTGTGGAAAACAGAATATACCGTAGTCATTTCTAAGTTTGCAATCTAAGCGGGGCAGAGCGTCAGTTGTTCCGGAAAAGTCACTCTCAGGCTATTCAAAGACATTCACAAGTCGATTTCTTGGAGTGCAAAGAAGAGACACCTTACAGGTAATATTATTAATATATAGATTTAGCCAGGGCTAAAAGCGAAGCTCCAATTTTAAAAAATTTATAATTTAAATCAAACAATAAACTTTTAATCGGCAAATCATTTAACTTAAGGGCACATTCATGTGACTTTTGAGGGAAAGGCTAAGTTATTTTAGAGTGAAACATCTTACATCGAATTGATAACCTTATATGTACACCCAAAAAATAGCAAACATCTTCGATCACATTCAAGATCACAGTAGATTAGGCCTCGAAAACAAATTCTTGGAAAACAAATCACGCTAAATTTTTTTGCGTTCGACAGGTTTACTTTACAAATTCTTGCCAACAAATCTGGGGGTGTTTAAAACCAACCTTTTATAATTTTTATGTACCACATTTGAGGTGAAACAGTACTATTTATCATACAGAGCTCGGACAGAATGCGGTATTTCACAATTTTTCAAGACAAATTGCACTCAGTCAATATTCAGGACGAGCCAAACCGTTCAAAAATTTCCGAAAATTTCCAAAATCACTCATACGGCCAGCTGGTTCTCGTTTCTATAGTGCGAGCTGTCAGTGTGGTCAAGTGTTTGAATGAAGTTTAACAGAGTTACGCTTCAACATAATAGCGAATTTATTATTATTTGTTTTGTTATTAAATGGTTTCAGTTATAACGATGTGTAATCTTATAAAGCGTTTGATACGCGCGACATTTTTTAGTACTCCTGCAAGCGATGGTCATGAACGATGAAAACAAACGGCACGGACAAGCGATTAAAATTGCAAGAGAGACTACTAACAATCAAAAAAAGAGATATAATTCCGTGAAACATTTACAGAGACAACAATTTTCATTCACGAAGACAAGTATTAAAGTGTCTCTAAAAATCCTGAGTCTTTAAGCGTAAAGCTTAAGTTTATGTTTTAGCCGGCTTCTCGGCGCGGTGTTTACTGTTTTCGAAGGTGAACTCCTCAAAGCAAGAGAGTCGCTCAAAGTTTTCTTTCTACAGCCAATTTTATAACTAAATATTCTTCGGAACGTTTTCTTTCTATTTGTGGTCAGCAAATATAGCTGAAGGCTTTTTAAAGTTCTGTAAGCTTATATCAAACCTGATACTAGGTCAGATCATTGACTCAAATCCTACAAACGTGCATAAACTTGCGGCGTAAACTGTCAGCGTGAACTGTGCAAGACTTCATGAAAACATCAAATACAATAATTACTTAGGCTTACCATTCGAGATTCAGTTCCTGATAGCTATCAAGGGAGGCCACAGTTGCTTGAGACTTTTAAATCCTCTTACGCATTAAGCAAGGTGAAAAACGAAAACGATGCCATCCGAAATCGAATTACCGAATTTTGACAAGCGACGCATTTCTCAACCAAGACCCAGTAAACAAACCAGCCATGAATAACAGAAGGCTCTTGATAGCAGCTGTATTTCATTTTGTACATCCAGAGGAAAAAGATAGTTAAAAACATCACAAGTTGACTCAAAACTCTGTCAGCTTCAGCTGTCAAAGTAAACTATTTTCAAGATGCTGCATATTTTCCGCATGAACTCACCTGTCAAATTTTGACCAATCAGAGTATAAAAATTGGACGTAGAGCGTGACCAACGCGTGACCATGGTAAGATAAGGTCTTCCCCGCCTGTACTTTTAAAAAAACTGGATGAATTTTCGCTT